AAGTCCCTCATCAATTGTTTTTTGAAAGAATTCTTAAAGTAAAAAAAGAACCCTTATATTTTTTCCACATGTTTATCATTTTCAGCGCTCTTTATTTCTTTATTATTAATCCAGAATTTCCTTTAGGATTATTTTCCTTCTGCCTGAAGAATCTGCTTTACTATTTCATATAGTGTTGATTTGCTGGTGATATATTTTCTCAATGTCTGTATGTTCTACTAGGTCTTTATTTACCTTTTTTTTGGGAAAGATATATTTGCTGAGTACAGAATTCTCTGTCAGCTTTACTTTTTCTTGGTTCACTGTTATTTTGGCTTTCATTGTTTTCAATTTATAGTCTGTTTTCATTCTTATTTTTTGTTTGCCTATACTTAATGTATATTTTACTTTGGTTACTTTTAGTGTTTTTCTTTCTCACTGGTTTAGAACAGTTTTATTATGATGTACCTTGGTGTAGTTTTATCGTGTTTTGTGTTACTGGGGTTTGTTGAGGCTCTTGGCTATGTGAGTTATAGTTTTCATCAGATTTGAAAATTTTTCATCCATTATGGCTTAAAATATTTTTTCCTTACTTTTGTGTCTCTCCATCTTCTCTTTTCCTGACCCCAATTATAATATCTCTAAACTTCTTGATTGTTGTTCCACAATTCACTGATCTTGTTCATTTTTTTCGAGTTTTTTTTCCTCCTCATGTTTTAATTTGTTACTTGCTCAGGTTTGCTAATCTGTGCTGCATTGTTTAATCTGTTAATTTCACTGAGTTTACTTCTCAGACAATGTATATTTTATCTCTAAAAAATTTTTGACTCTCTTTTGTATCTTCCATATTTTTCTTTGTCATGTTCATGCTTTCTTCTACCTTCTTGAACAAATGGAGTATGTTTATAGTAATACTGCAGGAAAGGGACCCCTTCCAGGGCCCAAGAGTGGGCTCTTGTCTAACACTTGGAAATGAATTATCTGAGGAGACATACCTGTTGACAAAGCAATAAGACTTTATTGGGAAGGGGTGCCCAGGTATAGAGCAGTAGGGTAAAGGAACCCAGGAGAACTGCTCTGCCATGTGGCTTGCAGTCTCAAGTTTTATGGTGATGGGATTAGTTTCTGGGTTGTCTTTGGTCTATCCTTCTGACTCAGAGTCTTTCCTGGTGGTGCTCGCATTGGTCAGTCAAGATGGATGCCAGTGAAAAGGATTCTGGGAGGTGGTCAGACACATGGTATCTCCTTTTGACTTTTCCTAAACTCTTCCGGCTAGTGGTGGCTTATTAGTTCTGTGTTCCTTACCAGGACCTCCTGTCATAAAATAACTCACACAAATGATTACTATGGTGCCTGGCCAGAGTGGGCGGTTTCAGTCAGTGTGCTTCCCCTAACAGTAATTGTTTTAGTGGAGTTTATTTATAGTAATTCTTTAACATTAAAACAATTTTGTCATCTGTATCATTTCTGTTGATTGATTAATCCACTTTTTACAAGTTGTACTCTTCATTTCATTGCATGCCTCATAACTTGTGATTGAATGTTAGACATTATGAATTTTACTTTGTTGGGTGTTAATGGAATTTTTATATTCCATTAACTATTTAGGAGTTTGTTCTGGGATAGTTGTTTTTTAGAAGTGGTTTGATCCATTTGAGGTTTGCTTTTATGTTTTGTTAGGCAGAATTCAGAATAGTCATTATTACTCCAAGGCTGAACTGATGCTGCTATTCAAGCAGTAACCTCAGGATTCCATTGATGCTCTTTGTGTTAGGAGATCTTTCCATTGTGGTTTTGAGAATAAAACTATTCCTGGCCCTATGGGAACATTGGGAATTATTGTGCCTGCTCCTTTTCAGTGACTCTTTCCCTGGTTTTGGTAGTTTCCTCATATTCATGTGTTGATTAGATTCACTAAATACTCAAAGGGAGCTCTCTTCAGATTTTCAGAGAGCTCTCCCTCTGTCCTCTCCATTACTCTTCTCTGTGAGTTCTTTCAGAGATCCCTGTTCTAGGCTTTATGTTGTCCATTGTTTGAAAACAGTCACTTTGTATATTTTGCTCAGGTTTTTATTTTTATTTTTTTGCTCAGGTTTTTAAATGTGTAAGATAGAAGGATAAATTTGGTTTCTGTAGTCCATCATGGCTAGAAGCAGAAGTGTATATGATTGTTTTCATTAACATTCCTTTCAACATAGATATGAACATTTTCCGTATTAAAATTTTTTTTTTAGATTTCTTTTGACAGAAAAACTTTCCACTGGTGGAAATCCAAACATAATTTTATATACTTATTTTAAAGATTTCTGTGTTCACAGATTCCACGGGACCCATTTATCAACTCAGTTTATCTTTATCCTTTGGATTGGCAAGTTGCTGATCATATCTAACTAACTAATTTTCCTTGTGTAAGCCTATTCTTTCTTAATCTTATTTTTTATATTTATTTGTTTGTTTTGCTGCACCGGGTCTTAGGCTCTGGACACAGGATCTCTGATCTTCATTATAGTGTGTGGGCTCGTTTCATTAAGGCCTGTGGGGTTTAGTTCCCTGACTAGGGGCTGTTGACTAAAAAGATGCATGATATGAGAGTTTTGAGTTAAGTTTTATTTGGGGCAAAATCAGGACTGCAGCCCAGGAGAGGGGGTACCTCAGATAGCTCTGAGAGACTGCTCCAAAGAGGCAGTCGGACAAGGTCAATATATGATTTCGGTGAAGTGGGAGTTCAATGCAGTCAAGTGCTTGCTTTACAAAAGGTTTTCTGCTGGTCAGGAGGAGCTGATGTCACCCTGAAGGGATTTAGTGCTTTTCTAGATATGAAGAGATGCACAGATTGGGATTATCTGAAAAGATCTAACTATCTAAACATCTGTTCTACCAGGTTCTCTGGAGCACAGAGTGCCTCACTCCACCCTGACCTCCCTCTAGGGGAGGTGTTAAAGGTCGACAGCTGCAGCAGCACAGGGTCAATCTCCACAGAGACAGATGGCAAATGCTTTGTCATTGTCGTTCAGTTGCTGGCGAATGCTCTTGGCAAGTCCAGTTTGTCGTTGACAGGATGAACGTTGGCCCCCCCTGCACTGGGAGTGTGCAGTCTAGCCACTAGACCACCAGAGAAGTCCCTCTTAATCTGTTTTTTGAGTTTTTTTAAATTGGAGAATTGGGACGATCCCCTGGAGACGGGCATGGCAACCCAGTCCAGTATTCTTGCCTGAAGAATTCCATGGACAGAGGAGCCTGGCAGGCTATAGTCCATGGGATCACAAAGAGTTGGACATGACTGAGCCACTAACACACACAATTAGTTGATTATAATGTTTCGCCAATCGCTGCTGTATAGCAAAGTGACTCAGTTATGCACATATATACACTCTGTTTTACGTTATCTTCCGTTATGACTGATCACAGGATGTTGAATATAGTTCTCTGTGCCATACATTAGGATCTTGTTATAAACGTAACCTCTACCAACCCCAAACTCCCAGTCCATCCCTCTCCCTCTCCCGTCCCCTTTGGCAACCACAAGTCTGTTCTCTAGTTCTTTGAATCTGTTTCTGTTTTGTAGATAGGTTCATTGCACCCTATTTTTGATTCCACATATAAGTGGAATCGTAGTATTTGTCTTTTCTTTCTGATTTATCTCCGTTGGTATGATAATCTGTAGTTACATCCATGTTGCTGCTGCAAATAGCATTATTTCACACATTTTTTGTGGCTGAGTAGTATTCCATTGTACATATGTACCACATCTTCTTTATTCATTCATCTTTTGATTGACATGAGGTCGTTTTGAACAATGCTGCTATGAACATAGTAGTGCATGTATCTGTTTGAATTATAGTTTTGTCTGGGTATATTCCCAGTAGTGGAATTGCTGGATTATATGGTAGTTCTGTTCTTAGTTTTCTGAGACTCCTCCATAGTGTTTTTCACAGTGGCTGTACCAACTTACATCTTCACCAACAGGGGATAGGTATGAGGGTACCCTTTTCTTCACAGCCTCTTCAGAATTTGTTATTTGTAGACTTTTTAATAATGGCCATTCTGACCAGTGTGAGGTGGTACCTCATTGTAGTTTTGATTTGCATTTCTCTAATAATTAATGGTGTTATTACTAATTATTAGTAATAATTAGTAATTATTAATAATTACTTAGTAAGTAGACATGAAAAGATGTCTTTTTATATGTCTATTTAATCTTTTCATAGCATTTGCTTTAGAACCTCTTTGTGGACCTAATTAATTAATTTCATTCAGCAGTTATTTATGGAATGTTAACTATATAGCAGGGCATATGCTAGGCACTGGATACATATACAGAGGTTTATGAAGAATTCATATGTTCTGGGTGTTCATAGTCTAGTAGGTAAACTGGAAGAAACAGCCTCCCCTTTGTAAAATATTTGCATTGGGAACTGTGTTTCTCTCTTCTAGAGCCATGGAAACAGATGTGATTGCACTCTGAGTATCACTTTATTCTAATCGTAATTCACTTCTCAAATACCCAGACCTGCTCCTGCCTTAGGGACTTTGTTCTTGCTGTTCTGTCTGCCTAGAATGCTCCTCTCCCCAACTTCACCAAATGACTTACTCGTACTCCTTCACATCCCTGCTGAAATGTCACTTTATCAACGTTATTTCCTTAGACTATTTTCTATAACATACCACTTCCCGCCTTCAATCTTTATCCCTTTATTTGAGTTTGTTATTATTTACATTTTAATCATTTTCATCCTCATTACTTTCTGTTCCCTCTTCCTTCAAATATGAATGCTAGATGAGCAGGGAATTTATCTGTTTTGTTTATTGTTTTATCCCCAGAACATTGAGCAGTTATTTGCACATAATGGGATTCTTAATACATGTTTCTTTTTTTTTACTTAAAAATTATTTATTTTTAATTGAATGACTGATTTTAATCATACTGAAAATTTTTGGCTTACTCCACACTTCTAATTAATAGTTGAAAGAGATATGTATCATGTTGAGTACTTATTAAAATTTTTTTTCTCCTCTCTTAGGTTCCAAATAGGGTTAATCCAATTGATAAACATGTTCAAGTCCTGATCAATAAGTATGGATTATCTGCCCACCCAATTGCTCCTCAGATGTTTGCGAGTGCTGGAAAAGAGCACATGGAAAAATATGGTATGTTAAAAAACTTTAAGGCTTATTTTTAGTTATATACATGTATTTATTAGGGCTTCCCTTGTAGCTTAGTCAGTAAAGAATCTGCCTGCAGTGCAGGAGACCAAGGTTTGATCCCTGAGTTGGGAAGATCCCCTGGAGAAGAAAATGGCAACCCACTCCAGTATCCTTGCCTAGAAAATCTCATGGACAGAGGAGCCTGGTGGGCCGCAGTCAGTGGCATTTCTAAGAGTCGGGCATGACTGAGTGATTAACATACATGTATTTCTCAAGGAACTGTGGAGGATGCCAGTTTGTATAAAATATGAAATGGTTTTTCAAGTAAGTTGAAATAGTATTTGTTGAATTTAGTTGTAAAGTATTTATACAAATGAGATCATATTGGAAATACCTTGGATGTTCCAAAACAAGACACTGAAATAGGAAAAATAACATAAATCAACCATGGACTATAAATTGAGGCTTATCAGTTCTGAGTACAGTATTCTCAGTACTTGAATCCATCAAGAGTCCATCATCATTTGTCAATCCATAGTGTTTTATTTTAAATTTAATTAAATTAATTAATTTATTTTTGGCTACACTGTGTCTTCTTTGCTGCATGGGCTTTTTCTTATTTTGGCAAGTAGGAGCTACTCTCTAGTTCAGTGCACAGGGTTCTTACTGAGATGGCCTCTCTTGTTTTGTGAAGCATAGGTTCTGGGGCATGTGAATCTTCAGTAGTTGTGGCACATGGGTTTAGCTGCCCCTTGCCATGTGGACTTTTCCCAGACCAGGGATTGAGCCCATGTCCTCTGCATTGGTAGGCGAATTTTTAACTGCTGAACTACCAGGGGAGTCACATAATGTTTTGGGAGAATTAAATTGCATAGTTGACTTTTATTTTGTAGGTGAGTATCCCAGCTTTTTGACTGATGATCAGTGATTGATCTGCATTAGCCAGTTAGTTAAAGCATGGGATAGTGCAGAAAGAGTTTTTTTTTTTTTAAACTTTATTATATGACCATGTGTTCTGTGAGATGAGAAAGAAAATAGTTGTGCTTGAAAGTACAACATTCCTGTTCTTTGCAGGAAAAATACCGTAGGTTTGATAACCAAGATCAAGTAATCAGAAAGGAAAGAAATCTTCAAGGAAAAATGGTAGGATGGCATAGAGGAGACTGATAGTTTGGGGCCATGGAATTTTCTTCCTTGTAGCTATTTGTTACCATTTTAAACTCCCTCCATTCCAGTCTGGGTTCCGCTCTTTCTCAATGCTACCACTGATCACCACATTGCCATAGGAAGTAAATACTTCTCAATACTGTTTTAATAGACCTCAACACCATTAGTCCCTTTTGATCACTTCTTTCTTACAATATATTCTTCTCTTGGCATTTGTGACACATCATTCTTCTGATTTTCCTTACCTCTTTGGCTATTTCTTGTCCATTTCCTTTTGAATTAAATAATTTATTTAAAATGTTTAGCTCTTACTGTATTGCAGGCATTGTTCTAGGCACTGAAATATAGAAGTACTGTTGTTCGATCGCTCAGTTGTGTCTGATGCTTTGCAACTCCGTGGACTGCAGCATGCCAGACTTGCCTGTCCTTCACTATCTCTTGGAGTTTGCTCAAACTCATGTCCATTGAGTCGACGATGCCATCCCACCATCTTGTCCTCTGTTCCCTCCTTCTCCTTTTGCCCTCAGTTTTTCCTAGCATTAGGGTCTTTTCTCATGAATTGGCACTTTGCATCAGGTGGCTAAAGTATTGGAGCTTCAGCTTCAGCATCAGTCCTTTCAATGAATATTCAGGCTTGATTGCCTTTAGAATTGACTGGTTTGATCTTGCTGTCTAAAGGATTCTCAAGAGTCTTCTCCAGCATCACAGTTCGAAAGCATCAGTTCTTCAGCACTCTGCCTTCTTTATGGTGCCACTTTCACATCTGTACCTGACTACTAGAAAAACCATAGCTTTGAATATGTGGACCTTTTTGGCAAAGCAGTGCCTCTGCTTTTTAATACACTATCTAGGTTCTTCATAGCTTTTCTTCCAAAGAGCAGTTGTCTTTTAATTTCATGGCTGCAGTCACCATCCACAGTGATTTTGGAGTCCAAGAAAATAAAACCTGTCACTGCTTCTACTTTTTCCCCATCTAGTTGCCGTGAAGTGATGGGACTGGATGCCATGATTTTTGTTTTTTGACCGTTGAATTTTAAGCCAGATTCTTCACTCTCTTTTACCTTCATCAAAGGCTCTTGAATTCCTCTTCACTTTCTGTCATTAAGGTGGTGTCTTCTGCATCTGAGGTTTTTGATATTTCTCCCGTCAATCTTGATTCCAGTTTGTGCTTCATTCAGCCCCTCATTTTGCGTGACATACTCTGCAAATAAGTTAAATAGGCAGGGTGATGGTATGGAGCCTTGGTGTACTCCTTTCCCAGTTTTGAACCAATCTGTTGTTCCATGTTCAGTTCTAACTGTTGCTTCTTTACCTGCCTACAGATTTTTGAGAAGACAGGTAAGGTGTTCTGGTATTCCCATATCTTTAAAAATTTTCCACAGTTTTTTTGTGATCCATACAGTCAAAGGCTTTAGCGTAGTCAGTGAAGCATAAGTAGATGTTTTTCTGGAATTCTCTTGCTTTTCTCATGAGCCAGTGGATGTTGGCAATTTGATCTCTGGTTCCTCTGCCTTTTCTAAATCTAACTTGTACGTCTGGAAGTTTTCAGTTCACATACAGGTGAATCCTAGCTTGAGGGATTTTGAGCATTACCTTGCTGGTGTGTGGAATGGGTGTAATTTTGGTTTAGTTTGAACACTCTTTGGCATTGCCCTTTTTTAGGACTGGAATGAAACTGATCTTATCCAATTCTGTGGCCACTGCTGAGTTTTCTAAATTTGCTGGCAATGAGTGCAGCACTTTTCACAACATCATCTTTAGGATTTGAAATAACTCAGCTGGAATTCCATCCCTTCCACTAGCTTTGTCATAGTTTTGCTTCCTAAGGCCTACTTGGTTTCACACTCTAGGATATCTGGCTCTAGGTGACCACTCCACTGTGGTTATCCAGGTCATTAACACCTTTTTTTAAATGCAGTTCCTATATATAATCTTGGCACCTCTTCTTAGTCTCTTCTGCTTCCATTAGGTCCTTATGATTTCTGTCCTTTATTGTATCCATCTTTGCATGAAATAGTCCCTTGGTATCTCTAAATCTTCTTGACGGGATCTCTAGTCTTTCCCATTTTTATTGTTTTCCTCTATTTCTTGGCATTTTTCACTTAAAAAGGCTTTCTATCTCTCCTTGCTATTCTTTGGAACTCTGCATATCAGTTAACTATTGCTATGTAACAAACTATTCCCAAATTCAGTTTTTATTAAATAATGGTTATTATCAGAGTTTACAGGTTTGTAGATTGACTGGGAATCAGTGGATCTGTGGAGAAGGAAATGGCAACCCACTCCAGTACTCTTGCCTGGAGAATCCCATGGACGGAGGAGCCGGGTATGGAGCTGCAGTCCATGGGGTCACTAAGAGTTGAACGTGGCTGAGCGACTTCACTTTCACTTTTCACTGTCATGCATTGGAGAAGGAAATGGCAGCCCACTCCAGTGTTCTTGCCTGGAGTATCCCAGGGACGGGGGAGCCGGGTGGGCTGCCGTCTACGGGGTCGCACATAGTCGAACATGACTGAAGCGACTTAGCAGCAGCAGCAGCAGCAGCAGCAGTGGCTCTAGATCATGCTCAGCTCTTTTGTCTGGGTTGATCATATGAGTGTAGGTTGGTTGGAGGCTCCGTTTTACTCCGTTTGGCTGGGTGTCTCATACTCTTCTTGGGACCAGAGGGCCACCTCGGGCATGTCCTTTTCATAGTCACGGCAGAAGCAGAAGAGTAATCTGCAACATGCAAGGCATTTTGAGACTTGACCAAAGCAAGTCATATGAAAAACTTGGAATCAAGAGAGAGGGAAATATACTCTACTTTTTTAAAGGTAGGAAACTGCAGAGTCAGATCATAAAGGGAAAAAGAATTAGGGATATCAATGAAGTCATTCACAAGCAACAAATAAGCAGGTGAGATGTGTGGTATTTGCTTAAATTTTTAGTAGGGGGAGACAGTAGCATATGAACAAAGTAAAGATAATTTCAAATAATGATTAGTAGCTGTGAAGAAAATAAAACAAGGTAATGCATTTGTTGGACGGGGGGCAAACTTAGGATAGTCAATGATGTAGTCTATACCTGTATATCCAGTTTTCATCTTCACATCTCTGCTTGTGTAAGTAACAGATGTCTCAAATTTCACATGTTCACGTGCAGACTCAAAGAATCAAGGAATCATGGTGGTGACTGAGCCCAGCATTTCTTAAAAATATGAAATTTGTTGTTGTGTATTATAACTCAAGTCAGAGAAATGCACACAACATAAATATACAGCTTAGTGAATTCTCCCAAAACCCATATCTGTAACCTAATTTACCTCCCAGGTCAAAAATAGAATGCTAACACCTAAGAATCCTCTCTGTAGATAATTTTTACCTTAAAAACTTTGTGGCTTTCCTATTTATCATAAGAACTTGTTTGGTCCTCCCGTCTACAAATTACACCTGCTAATCTCTTTCTGAGATGGCTGAGGGCCAACCTTCTTAAACTTCTTAGCAGTTCTTTGAGAGGAATTGTGAGGCACGGCTCTTTTCTCTTTAGAGAGCTTTTTTTCTGTATGAAAAGTATTCTGAGGCATCATCTTTGATTTTTCTGAGTCTTAAAAGATTTGTCACAACCTGGGCTTCATTTTTGGACCGTTTTTTTCTGGCAGTGAACTGGCTTTGATCTTTGCTCAAAGACTATTTGTTAATTTTAGCATCTTTTACCACTTTGAGAGGCTGAGAATTTTCAAAACTATGAAGTCCTGGATTGTTTTTGTTTAGTAGTCCTTTCTGCAATATAGCATTATAAAACTTTACTATAAGCAGCAAAAATCAATCATGTGGCAGTTTGAATATTTTATTATCTAG